AGAGTGGTACTGATTTTTAAATATTGTGCGTGTTTTTCCCTAAATTATTATTATTATTATTATTTTGGAGTGGGGAGTTTACTAGACTAACAACGCAACCAACAGACAACCAAAACAATAAGTCGTTAAGAGGTATTTTTCACCCTCCTACCACCATCCACCATTTTTAATCGCGGTATTAAGGTTTATTTGGTTCAAATATTTAATTGTTTATTTATTTATTTTTGTTTATTTATAGGTTACCTTGGTAATATGGATGAAATAATTAAAAAAAAAAAAGTTGATACTGGGGATAGGAGAGGCCACTGTTGTAGGTGAGAAGTTGGGAAGGTAGGATATATAAGGTTATTTAATTTATATCTGTAAGCAACGATAAACCATTGCTTGACGAAAAATGATTCGGAGCGCAGTTCGGTAATACATAATTTGAAGTGTCGTATTTTTTTTTTTTTTGCGATTTTCGTTTAAATTTGATTTCCAAACGTTTATTAAAAAAAAAAAAAAAAAACTGTCCAATGATTTTGGAATTTTTACCACGTCTAGATAAATCCAATCTAAGTATTATTACCTAGTGTTTCTACGTGTATCTATTTCCGAATATCAGCAAAAAATTCCCGAAAATTAAAATTCCTTAAAATCTCATAAGTGGCTGAAAAGTTTTGACGATGATACGGTAAGAAAGTAAATCAAAAATTCATAAAAGAAGGTAGCTTGTGATTTTTCGATTAAATCATTTTTTCTGTTATAAAACGTTGTCTTTGTTTTTATAAAATAATAAAATCGTGAAATTATGTTTTCCTACGTATTTTCCTACTTAAATGTTTTTATTTAAAAAATGTCGTGGAAAATCAAAAAATGACCTGTTTAAAAAACAATCTAAACAACTTGAGTTTTGAGAAAAACTTTTATATCGGAGTAAGTTTACTTGGAAAAAATGTGTCCACAGTCTAAAAAAAATAATAATAATAAATAGCATTGTAAAATCAATAGCTCCCTTGCTACGCTCGGAACATAAATTAATAAATGCAGTACTCTGTGCAGATTTTCGAAATCTGTGGACATTTAGGCACTTTGTACGATTGGATATGATACGGGCACGATTGGCCGATAATGACCTCTTTAAAGTATCATTTTCTAATAACATCATAATTTAAAAACAGCTAGACCAATTCGGTTGATTTTTTTAAGACAATGTTTTTATGAAAGAGAATACAAATGGTAGTATAGGGTATACACATTGTACCCGTTCCCAATCTTATACGCGCCGGAAAATTCGTAATTTGAATCGTATTTTTGTGTCACCCGGAAAACGTTTTTGCCTCAATGATTTTTTTTATTTCATTCGTATCACCAAGGCAACCCGTAAATCAACAAAAATAATTCGATAATTGACGTTCACTTCTGCTTTCACATGTTTTCATAACAACAACATATTGATGATAAATAAAAATAAAGGTTTATATGAAAAAAAATTCTTGGAAAATTTACCGGAAATGGTGGAAATTTTAATGATATTGAAGTTATGGCGTCACCGACAAAATATCGATTCCGACTTCCCGATCAGGTCCTTTATATAGGATAGATTTCACTTCCTTTGAAATCTACCCCCCTTCTCCCAAAATTCTGTGTTTAGATAGTTTTGGTATGCAAATTACAAAAAATGTCACATCAGAACAGGGCAGAACAGCTAGTATAATATATTATGTTTATTACATTGGAGTTCACGTATTATCGCATTGGTCGCATATCGCAATCAAAATACAAGTTTAATCGAATAAAAGGAAATTAGAAACAAAACTACAAGTTTACATTTTCCAATAGAGTCTTATGTTCAAATAGTAGACTTTTAGTTAACGGTTTTAATCATTTGCGCGTTTGATGTTACACCGTGTAAACATACATTTTGAAATAAATGTTGATGAACAATGTTGAATCAATTAAAAAAAAAAAAAGAAAAAAAGAATTAGAATCAAAACGTAAAACAGTTCGGCGTTGTCTATAGCCGGTAGCAGTAGCGTAAAATGGTTTACATTTCTGGCGGGACAGGGAAATATTTTAATTATTAATTTTGAATTCATCAATATTCCAATTTCCTTTGTACATTTGATCCACATGCGCACGTGCAATAATTGCAGATAATCCAGTATACATATTGATGGTCATTTATAAAGAATATTCTTTGTATTAATATAAAAAATATCATTAAAATTATGAAATTGAGACAAAGACGGGACGTTTAATGAATATCGGTATATTTTATCTCCCAGTTAGGCTTTAAAATTTAACGGGACACTCATTGAAAAATCGGTATCGTGCCATCTAAATCGGGTTTGATCAAACTAGCTAAGCATTGATTGATCTTAACATCTAATATTTTATACAAATTTCAAATGGAAATGACTAAATTGTTGCCAATTATTTTATATTTTAAATAACTGTAAAATTAATATTAATAAATCTGTTATACACAAATCTTAAATCGTCTTTTTTTTTTTTTTTTGATTTCCTCAAATTGATTGTAAAAAAAACTAACAGACATACGAATTAAAATCTGAACCAGTGTAACTTAAAACATGACATACTAAACAACCTTGAGAACATGAAATCGAGTCATTTAAAATATTTAAGACAATATGTCAACATGCATACATCGATAAGAAACATAATCATATTATTAATAATTCTGGGCATTGAAACGTAAATATTATAAAAAAAAAAACGACACAGGTACGAACAATAATTACGGTTTCGTACAATATTATACTTGTTTGATATACAAAATATAAATTATAGCTGTTATATATTTTTTTGCGATTTTCTACTGGTGCAAAAATATAAACTTGCACCACCGCATTTGCAAAAATGGTGATGCAAGTGCTACATTTGCACCGCCCAGTTTACGTTACTAGCCGGCGAGATCAATACGTTCAAAATATGTACTGTGGAGTCGATAACCGGTTACCGGCGCAATCGATACATTTTTTACAGCTTAAAAAGTTATTTCGGCGAATAAGCGGATTCGATGTACACCTAAAAAATTACCCGGCATTTCTCTTTTGTCTTCTTTATTTCAAATGAACGTGTTGTTTTCTATTAACGACAAGGTAACAATAGAATTCTGTTCAACTCAGACGAAGTTATTTGTATTACAAAGGTGTAGTTTTTCTTTTTATCGGAAAACACGTCCTGGTTAGTACTACCACAAAAAAATGTGGAATATCTGGCCGGTGGTAGTTTATATGAAGCATTTGTCGAAATTTTAAGCAGTTTCTATTTTTAGGTACCTTTTGTTATTGTTTGATATTTGTTGATTTCTGGTAATAATGAGAAAAAAAAAATTACTAAAACTAAAACTTTCAGAATAGATTTTTTTAAATTTATAGTTAACTTTGAACATAACATTAAAAAAAAAAACAGATTCTAGCACGGCGTATAGTATAAATATTAAATATTATTTAATATTATTTATTTAAATATATCTTCGGTTTTTTAATAAATAGATATATTTAAAACATGTGTTTTTTTAAAAAAAAAAATTTTTAACATTATTTCAATGTGTAAAATAATTATTTAATTATTTAAATGTTGCAAAAATTGTATTCCGGTACCGGGAATCGAACCCGAGCCTCCTGGGTGAGAGCCAGGTATCCTAGCCACTAGACCATACCGGATACCTGTTTTTCGTAAACGCGTAAATATTATTTAAGTGTGTTTACACTAAATATTCGTAATGTGTAATTATTACTCATTACGACCTATTTAAATTTTGGATTCTTAGTGTAACAAAGAATGTATTTGTATTATAAAGATGTTTTTTTTTCTTTTTTTATACTGCGTACAAAAATTCTACAAGAAATCTTACTCCAAAATGTCCGCACGGTACTATTACTGAAAGGAAATATTGTTCAGATGGTACTTTTGGGAAGTCATTTTTTGATTTTCCAAGCGGTTTTCATAATATCTGGGAGGATAGGTTAAGTTAGGTGCTTATTAAAGCTCAACAACATCTTTTACCTAATATTTAACTTTGTCAATACTAGAACATCTACAATGAGGATAAACTAGATTTTTCAGAACCGCATTCTGTAGATGATATCTTGCTACAGTTAACTGTAATCCATCTCTGAAAATGAAAATAAAGTGAAAATATAGCACATGGTATAAACTTTTAAAATGGCAAAATTGTGAAAATAATATGGTGGGCTTTAAAAAATGACGCGAAATCAAAACTATTAAAAGTAGGCTATAAGTGGGTGAAATTATTTACTCTGCAACAAAGTACAAATCAATTAAACCATCGGATGAAAATTATTTAAAATACATAAATTTACTAATTTTGTTGATTTTTATTCACAGCATATAGCAGTATAAGAAACCGAAACTTCATGGAAGATACCGAAGAAGGTAAAATTATCATCATTCATTATTGCATGTTTCCGTTTTAAATGGGTACAAGATTAAATACTTTCGTGATATGAAATTCGATATTAATTTTTTTCGGAAAAAACGAAAAAATTCTATTATATGTTTATCTGTCATATACTGTAGATTTTATTGTATACCTACAATAATAAATTAAAATATGCGTCAATTATGTTATAACTATTGTTTTGTAAAAGAAAATTAATAAATAGAAACTACAATAACGAAACCCGCTATGGAGGACAGTGCTGTAACAAATCACGATAGGGAAAAGACCACTGAATAAATCGATAATGAGGTGGATATATGTAGTTAAAATAAATCTAAACCCTTATGAGATAGATTGAACTGGAAGATTTAGACGATGGATAGAAATAGTTGGAGAATTTGTTCTGGCTGAATAAATTCCAAAATATTAATAACAGTAATTTAATATATTATTAACTGGGGAAACGAATAATAGTTTATTATTATTTCATTGAGTGATTGCATCCCATGAAAAAAAATTAAATATTTTAGAATTTTAATTTTTGCAAATACACATTTTCTTGAATTTAGTTTGAACGAACCTGAAGAAAATGAATCGATGTAATGATGGTTTACCTTTTGTACCAGGATACCGTTTCGCCGATATAGTAAGTTTACAAAAACAACATATTACTATATTACGGGCGACCGTTTAGCACCGAGTTCTAGGTAACTTATAACCAAAAATAAATGGCCGCAATTTGTATAAAAATATTAATTCATCAAATAGAATAAACATTATTAAAAAAACGTTGTTAACTCGGTGGAATGGTCTTTCGCGAAGGCGCTCGTGACAGTTCCAGACTCGCCGGAGAAGACGTTATCGGCGGTTCGTGTTTATATCCAGGACTCCCGAATAGAATTTGCTTACTACGTGCTTTTCGACAAAAACACGTTGTTTCGTAGCTGGGCGATAACGTTTTTACGAGAGGGTTTACGTATTTAAATCCTTGAATTCTTATGAACGATTTTAGAATGCGTGCATTTGGGCTATAATAAAAATAACATTTCGCCGTGTTTGCTTCCCGGGCACTCATTTTTACTTATCGGACGTAGTCTCACTTTTTTTGTCAGGCAAAGGGCATAGAAAGCGAAATTTACCAGTTAAAAGGTCTACATTTACAAATAGGTATCCTATTTAGGTATAGGTATAGGTACTCCTAAGTACTATCATTATATTTTTCGAAATTTAGTATATGTAGGTAAAGACTAATAATAATATTAATTTGTTCATCTTTATATTTTTAAAGAAAACCAACTATCGGAAGAGTTCGTTTTTTGGATACAGAAACGGATATGCCGTGAATGCCGAGAAATCTATAGGCATCGGATCAAACACCCCTCTAGACGTAGAGAGTGTTTATAATTCTGAAATACCAAAAGACAATAGGTCAGTAAAATATAATTGAAAATAAATAAATACGAAACATACAATTTATTTAAACATAATGTATATATATATATATATATATATATACGTATATTTTATTTTATTATTTTATTTTATTTACATTGTTGTAATAGAGATACCTAAAACTAACAGTTAATATGTATTTTAATTAACTATAGTTACGACCTAGTTACGTTGACTTACGGTATTCCCAAGGACCCGCCTTCGCCACATTTTAAACCACAATTCGTATTATTCGATGGGATAGTTTTGTCTTTCAGAGGATTCACCATAGAGACTATAGAACCGCCCTCGAAAATCACGTACAGAGTGCGCCATGTTAAAATCTGCTACTACATGGTCGACAACACTATTTCAGTATCGGAAACTCCTATATTGGTAAGACTTCTTAAATTATTATTAAGTCCTATAGAGTAATAATCTTCGCTTACATAATGTATATATATATATTGTATACTCATCCGAAACTACTCATCCAATCGCTATACGTTTACTACCTAAAAGGTAAGTAGTTAAAGCTGGATAAAAAATAATTATTTTGCAATTATGTGACCTGAATTTAGAAGGTTGAATTGTGTAATGGTTGGTCTAGATAGATAGAGGTTGTTAAAGCAAGTTTTATGAGGAATCATAGGAACAATATGTTTATATCTGGTGGAGAATTCTAAGGGAGATTTGACTAATGAAAGGACCAGAGGTATCTCATGTGATGACGTTTAATTGGAGTGAAATAAGTATGAGGAAGTTGGATACGAGAGGGACATGGATGGAGTAAAAATTTTAATGTATCATACATTCATATCCAATGAATAATTTCTTAGTTACAGCCGTTTTAATTATGCATGATAACAATTAATATTCAATACATTACTTATGCGATAAAGAATTACAATCAGCATAGCAATTCTTTACCTTTTATTGAATATTAATTGTTTTCACGCCTATTTTTTAGATATGACGTGGCTATAATTAAGAAACTATTAATCGAATATGAATGCATGATACATTAGCATTTTTAAAATAATATTGTTTACAAAATGGCTATTTTAAATATTTTCTAAAGTGAATAAATAAAGTTATTCTTTTTTTTATGTTTAAGGGATGAAAATAAAAATGTAATTTTTCTCTAAATCGATGTTCCCTCAAAGACAAACCGACTGAAAAAAAAATAATCGAATACAATTTAATATTAACAGCCTTGGAAAAATCCATCGAACACGGTGGGACACATTGTATAGGTACAATTAGGAATTACATTTTGCTGGGCTAAAACTATACAACGTTTACAGTATAAAATATAAATAACTTTATTCACGATATTAATGATAATAATAATAATGACATTTTTAAATAAACTTGTACCAAATTATGTAAACAGAATATATTTACATAAATACTAATTAATAATTAACTAGGTGTCTATATTAGAGCAATGCAGTTTCCTGTTTTCAGTTGCAAATAAAATTATTCGATTTTTTAAGTATTTTTATCACTTAAAAATATAAAAGGCTAATACAATAATAATATAATTCCATACGAATATAACTAATTTAATTATTTGCGGGGGCTAACAAATATTTGAGCATTCTAAACACTCCCTAGCCTCCATCTAACTGCGCCTATGTGTATGCTCAAATGTTTTTTTATATACATATCTCGCTCAAATATGTCTTCGCTTTTTATTAGCTAGGTGACCAGAACTATCAATTTTTCATGATACCAATATTATTACTATTTTTTGTTATGTTCTTTTTTCCTAATCAACGTCACAGAACGCAGGTTACGTGCAGGGTATGATATCAAAACGGAGTCGGGTACCGAATCCAAATCGTCGGGGCCAAATGTATTACTATACCGACCTGAATGTTGGCGTAGAACTGTTGATAAATACCAAGACGTACAAATTGTGTAGTTGCAACTCTTTTACAAGAGATTACATGACGAAAGAAGGTATTTCGGTACACCCCAATGAAACTATGCCTGAAGACCCTTACTTGGTCGAAAGACACCGCAGATTGGTACAGACCACTTTGCCAACGAAAACTTCGAAAGATTGCGACGAAGTCGAACACCTTAAACTAAAACGGTTCATCGAGTACGACGGGAAAGTACTGAGGTACAAATATTATATAATCATTTATACCGGTTACAAGTAATAAAAAAAAGAGTGAATTTTTCAAAATAAAAAAAATAATAATAATACAACCAACTATATATACAAATTAATTAAACCGTAATACTGCAGTTATTCACATTTTCCATTCCAAAAAAAAAATTTTAAAATTTAGACGCATATACTCTTTCTGTATTCGTTCTGTATATATATATATATAATGTTGTTTGTATCAAAAAGAGGCGTGTCCGGCTGAAAGAAAAGGGATATGGTTGTCAGCCGTCCGTCAATCATAATATATATTCATAGCCAACATGCCTATTCATAATCAACATACTTTAATTTTTTAATTTTTTTTTTATTGCCATTACCTACTTACACACTGATATTTTACTGTATTTATCAGATTCTATGCAGCGTGGTACCACAACGAATCCGAAGCGGGATTCGAACCTCCGTATTGGAGAAAGTTTCTAGTCGCTTATTACTTAGTGAACGACCAAATAGAAATAAACGAATTACATCACGAGAAGAACGAGATTTTATTTCCTTCGTTTTTAAAGAAAATGAAATTACCAATGAATTTGAAAAATATACCATGTAAGTAAAAGTAACTCATATATTACCGTGATCTTTTCGAATTTCCCTATATAATGTAAACCTTTGCATTTGTGAAATAATTTTTCGTTATTACCAATGTATTGAATTCGAAATTTTTTTAATTTATGAGGAGGTTGTTTTTGATTTTCTCAGTAGTTTTCCCAATAAATGGGAAAAATCTGGAAAAAACACGAGAAAACTGTAGGGAAATCTGGAAAATAGGTACAATATTAAAAAAATATTATTAAAGAAAATATACAGTACGTATTTAATTATTTTACTATAATATGACATACATTGGTGACAAAGCATTACTATCAATTGAACTTCACTCATACTCGTTATTGTTGATTACAGGTATAAATTCAATAATTTTATGTATACCTTCACAACCGTCCCTAGTATCAACTCTATTTTTAAAAAGCTAATATTCTTAATGTAATACTCGACAATATTGATTATTTGTAGCAATCATAACATACGAAAACTTGAATGAGAATGTAAATAAAGAATGTCAACGATTTTACAAAGCAACGGATCTTATAATAGGAAATACTATTTGTGTAATGGGTCGTAAGTAAGTGCACATAAAATCGCGATTCATATTTGTTAATATTTTATTTTGAATTTCATTATACTTTTTCTTTTTTAGATTTATACTGTATGACTGCGATGATTTTACACGAGATTATTTCAAAAATAATCTTCAAATAGTTCAACCCGATCGAACAAATATTATGGACCCTGCAAAGAACGAATTGAAAAGAAAGGTAATAAAAAGCATTCAAATTAACATCACATATTGATAAAATATATTTATATTTCATGCTATCTTCATTCTCATCATTCTTAGATGATCTTCATTTAATCGTTAAGCTTTAGTTAAAAACACAATTTTGCAATCTTTTGAATGTAGCGTCCAAACGGACATAATTTATACAGATTTAAATAAAGCATTCGAATGATTTAATCAAGTAATCCTATAAAATCATAATTTTGTATTTTCCTTATCTCATTAGTATATTCTTACTTTTTTTTATTATAATTACAACATTTTTAAAATGTCAAATTAACATTTGCCTTCGGGGTTTATCACTCACAATTGTGTATGTTCATTAATGATGTAATGCTTCTGAGTCATAAGCAGAGCAAATAAAGGCGCAGTTAGTTTTCAAATTTCAAGAAATAGTCCATTTATAACTTATTTAAAACTATTTAATGCATTTTGCTTTAATAAATAATGCAGTAAATTATAATTACTCTACCTTTGGATCTTACCTCGACCAAATATAGAATTAAAAAAATCTTGGTGTAGTGTTTATCTCGGAATTAAATTTTTTCATTATATTGAGATAATAAAGAATGAATAAACCTGCACTTTAGTATTTATTAAAAGAACATTTTATTCGTTTTACGATCTATCAGTTTTAAAAAAAATCTCTACTCTTCTCACATTTGATCCAATTTACAGTTCTGCTCTTTAATTTATATTAATAATAATCTACAAGTATAATGCATCTAAGTGAGACGATAGACCCTGTTCATAATAATCGTTTGCTTTATATCTCAGTTAAATTTAATGGTCCCAGGCCATCTCATGGGCTTTACAAAAATGTTTTCAATTTTCTTTATCTACCTCCACTTAGTCACAGAAATTTTGTTCTTGCTTTCTATGTTCTTACAGAACCTTATTTTAAATTTACCCGCTGCCCGAAATTCCTTTATTTTTCCACTTCATATAATAAACTCCTCCAGCACAAGAAATCCAAAAATTGTCTACCTAATCTGTTCTAATATATATATATTAATAATAATAATATTAATATATATATAAATTAATAATAATAATATATATATATATATATATTATTAACTCTCCTTTCAACCTTTTAATGATTAAAGGTATAGGATATAGTATATGTTTAATAGATTTTAGAATTTTGTGTAAAAACTGCTCTTACCAAATTTGCAATGGAACTAGGGTCCGTTTATTTGATTTCATAAATAAACAAAAAGTTGTTTATATAATCGCTATTTATGTTTAGATGTATCCACCTCACAATGGGTTCGGTGATCCAGACGATACGCTGCGAAATTGTGTGTCATTTAGACTTCAGCCACCGAAATCCAATTTCTTAAACTTTATAAAAAACCTAAACAATATTTTACGATATAAAATGAAAATGGTACCAGTGAATAAAGAAGACCATGACCGTCCTTTCTGTATGGAATTTAACCTTGCCAATGATAAAATGACAATATTAGAAAAAGCCTCTCGTGGCTTTTTAAAGGGAAAATTCATGTCGGCTTTTCGACTGCGAAAACCCGGATTTCCGGTCGAAGAAAATATTTTTTACGGGCCAAAAGATTTCGCAATCGGTAAATAATAATTATGTACAGTGGATTCCACCTAATGTGGGCACCGGTTAATATGAGAAAAATAGTCTGCTCCCTATACAAATGTATATTAACAAGGTTAACAAAAAAAAAGCATAATACGGGCATTCGTTTCGGTTTATGCGAAAAATTATTATTTTATCATAGCGCTATAATATATACATACGTATTTAAAAACGACTAATATAATCAGGTTTCGTCGTATCTATGAGATTGTCTTTATCGAAAATAATTATAATAAAAAGCATTACCATTTGCTATTCACTATTTTGCCTTCGCCCCATTGTTGGGATACCATTCCTCAATCGAAATACCTAAGTTACTTTATTTTATACAAGGAAAACAATTAAAGATTAGATAATAAATGATATATTATAGTAATTGTTATATACGATAAAAATATTATTCGGGGTTTCAGGATCTAAAATACACGTCAGAGGATCGGTGTTCTCTATTGTCGATCTTGACGAATGGACATACCAATTTATGATAAAAAATCCAGACATTTTCACGCAAGATGCTATTGAAGGAGTTAAAGATCATTTTATAAATAAACGCTTACTAGAATATGCGCGAAAAATGCCTGAACAAGAATTCAAAATGTTGCCACCCGTAGTTATTAGCGGAAAAACGAAGAATGGTGATTGTGACGTGTGAGAATTCATCGTTACAGGAAGTAACATTTGTGAGGTTGCTTTTTCGTCTTGTTTTGTATGGCATTGTAGGCCATATTTTTAGGATTTTTAGGCCAATCAATGATATCGTTAGTATTTTCTGGTTATTTTTAACAATCTGCTTTTCATATTTAGTTGAGATTGCTCTGACTTCTGTGCCAGAGTCGATTAGAGTTTCAAACTAATCGTTATTATTTGTAATGATCCCCTTATTTGGACTATTGGTCCATTTTGGTTGAATTCATCGTCAAGCGTTAGGTGGGATGCTATCGATCTTGATGTGGTTTTTTGTTATTTATTTTTATTTGGTTGGATTTTTATGGTATCAGTTTGTATAGTGAGTCTGCTAAATACTCTGTCGTCCGATACGTAGAGACAAACAACTAGTTTATTCGGCTCTACAGTCCACCATTTCCAGTTTTTTAGGAGTGTAAATTTGGCATATTGTTAGTAGAACTTTCCAATACGTATCCAACAATGTTTAGATAGACTCCAACAGGACATTGTTAGAATTTATTGGAGCTACCCTTTTTAGTTATCCCATATTTTATTTTGTAATTCTAACTTAACACTTAGCATTGCATGTATACTAAAACTGTTCAAAAACTTTCCAACAGTGTTCAAATAAGTGTATTTGAACATTGTCGGAAACTTGTTGGAATTTGTTGGAGCTTCCTTTTTCATTAACTCCAAGTCAAACATTGTACTGCTAACTTCACACTCAGCAAAGGTATGAAGTCAATGGATTGTTAGCAATACTTTCCAAAACAATGTTTAGACAAACTTGTAGGACATTGTTAGAATCTTGTTGGAATTCGTTGAAGTCCCCCTTTTCATTTATTTCAAGTTAAATTTTTAATAAAACTTGTTTTTTATCTATAATTGTTTTATACCATCGTGAAATATTTTATATCATGGTGATAACTTCGATTCTTTATTATTCGTAGATTTTTATTTTCTAAGAAAATGTTAATGATTATGAGGTGAAAAACATTTAAAAATATTTACTGTAAAAGTCTAAATTTTAGTAGCTTTTCACCAATTTTGGGAAAACTATTGTGAATTTCGTAAATTGACAATATCTATAATGTACCAATTTGAGGACATTTATAATCTATAGACTTTAATGATGCTAGATGAAACTTCGGGATATAAATTTCTATTAGAAAAGTTTATATACAATCTTAGCTTCATTCAGAACCTAAAGTTTGGTATTATTAATAATTAATAGGTACAGGTTTGTGACAGTAATATGTTATGTTAGAAGGAATGGAAACAGTTTTGGTCACTACTCGCATAATGTGGAAGAATAAATGATTTTTAGAGCATGACAATGTGGCTTCCAAGATAAAATGTTGTTATGAAAATGGTTAAGCCCACGCTATTTTAAGCAAAGAAATATAACTTATATTTCATTATTTACTTTTGTCTATAATTATAAGTTTACATTTCTCTACGTATATTTATTTTATTAAAAAGATTAACTTACAATAAATGAATTGGGGAACTCCAGTAAATTCCAACAATGTCCAACAGGTGTATTTGAACAATGTTGGAATGTTTTTGAACGGTTTTAGTATACCATACATGTAATACTAAGTGCGACGTTAGCATTATAAAATAAAAAGTGGGATAATTTAAAAATCGGGTTCAAACGAATTCCATCAAGTTTTCAACAATATCCAACAAGTCTGTCTGAACATTGTTGTATATGTTTTAAAAGTTCTGCTAACAATTTAATGTCAACTTCTCACCCCTCAGTTTTTTGACTCGTTAAATTCTACACTTAAGTCTTCCTTTGTTATTTTGTTTTGTTCGTTTGATAGCTTATTTACTTTAGCATTTTTCAGGACTATTCATTGTTTGTGTGTTTTGTCTCAGTATACTGTTGTTATATTGTAGGGATGTAAAACCTCGTTGGTTATCATTTGATGTACGGTTGACTTTTGATGAATTGTTATTTTGGTTTTCTTTATACTTTATTCTATAATACTTTCTGAGATAATAAGTGTACTCACTTAAATGTTTTATTTACCATTCCGTCGTGTTACTCTCAAAACGCTCTAATAGTTAGACTAATGGCCATACATTAAGTATGACATTAAAATAAATTGAATTGAATAAATTCAATTTGGTAAGATATCTTTATCCAAAGAATCCGACCAAGCCACTGCATTAGAAGTTACTTTGGTGAAGTCCTCTAAAGCCTTCTAAAACAGCAGTCCAGAATTATATATTGCATTGATTGGTGAATTTACGTTATTTTTACGCGGTAATATCGACATGCGTCAAATGGACCCGGTCATTTAGACGCGAGACAATTGGGCGCTTAGCACATTTCGATGCATGTCATTTTGACGCATTTTTTTTTTTTGTTTAGTTATTATTAATGATTTTTTCTTTTGCAAAATAAATTTATCAATTAATAATATTTTAGATATTTCTAAAGATTGTATCTTATGATACATTTATTTTGAAAAATAACAAGGATTGCGCACAAATTAAAATTGTGTGTATAAGAAATACATGTTTCATATTTTGATTATATTTTTTTTACATTTAAACATAATTTATGTTAAAAAATAAATCAATAAAAAAAATTAAAAAAAAAAAATGTGTTGACATGTACCATGCACCCAATTGTCTCGCGTGAAAATGACCGCGTCGATTTGATGAGCATCGAAATTACTGCGTCAAAATGACGCAACACCACTTGTTTAGCATTGCTACTTTGATTAGTAGGCCAGAGAATCTGTTCATGATGCTGTGGGCTTTGAGAATTAAGTTTCTGTATAGTAAGACCTAGCTTTGTTCAAAATGAGTCGATGTTGGCTATTAGGGTTAAATCCTCGATTAAGGTCCTTTCAAGGCCTTCAGTATACCATCGATGTCCAGTGATAATAAAGTAAAGTCTTTGTTCTAACCGAGATGATTTTCTGCCATAAAAAATATTGATTGCAGCATTTTAGAGGTTGTATCTTTTAGAAAAAGTTGGCTTATAAAATGTGAAAAATATTAATTTTCATTTACCCCAAACACAATTTGATGATAACCGTATAGCTTAAATCTGTTAATTTACATTTCCCAAAGAATTAAGGGAGTAATTGTAAATATCTGGGGTAAATGTAAATTGTAATTTTTTTAGGTTTAAGATGCAAAATTGCATTAGACATATATTTATTACATCCACTAGTTTATATACAGGCTGTTCTATGAAGATGTTTTCCCCTTGAACTTTTTCAGATATAATAAAGATAATCAAATTCTGTTTTTATTTTTAATATTACTCACAGGGAAGAGGACTACAAATGTTTATAATAGAATTCATTTTATTTTAATAAAAAAATTTAAAAAATTATTTTATTTTATTATTTTCGGAAAATTTTAAAATAACCATTCTATAAAAATTATTTTTCTGAACATTTTAATGAATGAAATATTTATATCCGATGAATAATTTCTAAGTAATAGCCATTTTAAATTCTACTTATCTGCTTGTTTATCGATGTTATCACGTTTAACGGTTAGGTTGTTCTCCAGATATATACATATATACATAGATATATATATATATCTCCTTGTATATACAATGATAAAATGAATTTATTTGTAAGTAAACAGTCAGAAACACAAGTTTAAAAATACTTTGTTATAATTATTTACAATTATTCCACCTGACCCTACCGTAATAATTTTTTGATTTGTTTATGATGTTTTCTGTATTTTATTGTAATTACCATGTATTATTATATTTAATATTCTGTGCAATCGTGCAATTACCTTTTTCCTAGTTTTATCCCAGTTACAAGAAAAACGGTCAAGTGTACTATCAATACAATATTTTAATTCGGAAAAGTGTATACACTTGTGAACCGGACCAATATTATTGATAAAAAAATTGTTAACATACAGAAAAAAAACCAATAATTCTCCCCTGCGCTCAGAATCTAAATTAAATATTTTGTTATGAAGATATTATGAACTACAATTGTTTAAAATCAGCGCTGGACATCATCATATGCTTCGTAATGTTGTTATTACGGTTAATATAATATTTTACACCACTAGCATCTACATTTTAGATTCAGAGCGTAGCGAGGGATCTATTGATTTTACTATGATGACATCACACATTGTGTGTGAATTTTTTTTTGGTGTCTGCGAACAACTTTTTTACAAGAAAAGTTGTTTGCAGACAATGTAATTTTTTCTCGTTAGTGTATTTGATTTTCCAATGGGTTTTCGAAGTAATTGGAAAAACCTGAGAGAAAATTATTGATATAACGGCAAATATTTTCGTGCGCACCGAGCGTTACCGTATTAATTGTTTTCATTGTGTTATATTTGAGTTTTCTACCAGAAATATTACTCTAGTCTAAAAATGGCAATTAATCGATTTGTTTCTTTTTATTGTATAGTCACTGTTAGAGCAATTAGTTTTATAATATCTATGGTATTTTTAAAAATAATTAGGAAAAACTAAAAAAGCCAAAAAGTACGATTTTTAATTTCAAATTAAAGCTCGAAAGTTTTATTATTTTAAATTTTAAACGCAGATTAGCTATAAATTCGTTTTTCCTATTTTTCATCTCCGTCAAAAACAGTTTGTGAAAAAGAAAGTATCAAATAACTGACACGACTATATAATTACGATACTGTAATTTTATTTTTGTTGATTTTTGGGTTAAAAAAACATATCTAATACTATAATACGATTACCGGTTTACCGCGTTCCGCTGGAAGTAGGTTTTTAATTGCATCACTGAATCACCCTATATTCTATACAAATTGAATTTAAAACCGATAAATACGATAATTACTGTTGTACTATTATTAAACGTACAACGCTGTACTTTGAAAGTATTATATTATTATTTCAAATTGAATACCACTCACATTTCTTATTTTAAAAAGTGCACTAAGCTTTCATCTGGTAAATTCGTATTGAATTCCGTGGACGTTGTTTCGTTCTGGTAAGATCTT